CAGGGTCCATGTTTTCTGAGTGAAGAATGCTACTCTAAGTCATTCTCTTTCCAGGGTTAGAGCTTAAGGTACTGAGGTATTGCCTGGCCTCCCTCTATGAACTATATACGTCTTTGGGTTTTAGTTCTAGACTAGAAAATGTCCTTTCCTCCAGGTTTAAGAGTCAGTATCTTGAGACTATTAAGCCTCACCATACCTTTTCTTAGAATGACAGAGTAACAGCATTTCCAGAATCAGCGCCAAGGGCACTTAGGCCTAATGGTCCCCAGGTCTGCAGGCACAATGACACAAGAGGGCAGAGCAAATGCTTCCAGGGCCTCTTCACTCCTATGCCTCAAGGATGGATGAGCAGTGTTAGGCATGGCTTTTGTGGTATGTATATTAAGGTTCATAATAGAAAAATTAACATTCATAACAGGAATGTTGGTATGAATAATATAAACTATCTAACATTTATGAATCCAAGTTTCCCAGAGTGTGTTACCCAGAGTCCAGGAATTCTAACCAAGTAAAATGATTTTATACCATCTCTCCAACTATCCACTGTAAGAAATGATAGTTTCCTTTTCCACTTTATAATTATATTCACTGATAATTCTTAAACATTCATTTTTTTTTCAAAACTGCTAGCCATAATGATAAATGTAAAAATCTGAAATTATCAAGGGCTTGATCTGCCTAGCAGATATCATTATTAACTGCAAAACACTACAAGAATTGTAAAGTATTATATCAGAAGGAAGACAAGGAGATTCTAAGAGTGTGTGTTCTGAAGTCAGACTGTCCCTGCCATTTACTACCAGTTATTTAGTGTGCAACCTTGAGTAATTCTCAACCTCAGCACCCTTCTACGTAAAATAAGGATAATAATAGTACCTATCTCATAGGAGCATTGTGAGAATAAAGTGAGATAATGTACATAATAAACATAGGTCAGTGTTTGACACATCTTTAACAGAAAAAAATAAAAGAATATAACTTTCATTGCTTTTCAAAAAAACATTTTATGGATATTTATTGTTTCTTTGGATTAAATATATATGCTGACAGGAAGCATTAGGTAGTTGTCATTGTGGTGATGCATTCCTGTGGCACATAAAGGTGGAGACATAGGGTCAAAAGTAAAGAAATAGTCTCCAAAGATGGAGAAGATGAATAGAGAAATATTTTAAATACTTTTATTTAAAAACAGAGATGTCTTTAAGATATTTTTTAAGTGATAAAATAGGAGACAGGACTAGAAAAGTTTGTTGAATTCTTTAAAAACAGTTAATCCTTAATGTTTTAAAGGTTTCTCTGATTTTATTTCCAGAAGGATGTTGTTAAATTTTCCCATGTAACATGAAAGATTGTTTATATCTAATTTCTGAAATGATGTGGTTAATAAAAATTAAGAACTCTTTTATTTAAATGGAACCAATGACCTCAATTTCTATAACGCATTTGAGTCTAGCTCTAAAATCAACCTGAAGTTTGACTAGCTACAGTGTTTACCTATAGAAGACTATGGACTATTAGCTGAATTTTTATTCATGACCTACAATCACTCCTTATGGCCTTTACATTCTCATAAATTTCTGATTCTGGGTTTCATGGCTGTCAGCTGACTCTCCGGCATTTCAGTTCCCAAATTCTTTTACATCACTCCGTGAAGCTTACTTTCCAACTTAGAACCTTACACAGTGTTCACCACATTCACTTGATGGCATCCCTCTCCATTAAATAACTACCCAGAATCCACCTCCTCTATGATATTTTTCTCAGAGTCCTATCTAACTGACTGTCCAGAATCCCTCCTCCTGTCTATTTCATGCAAATATGGGTATATCTGCATAAACCCAGGCATCTTTTCTTCTTACTAAAACTGTGAATTCCTTCTGGATGGAATTAAAAAAAAAACACCTCTCATTTCTGTGAGAACTCTTATAGGGTTAATGAAACATGTGGCATGTTAGTAAATATTGGCTAATTTATACAATTTTATTTTTTAGTTTATTACATTTTGTTTTTAGTGCCAATAATAAACAGAAATAAAACACATTTTTGACATTAAGAATTTTGACTCTGGAGCCAAACTATTTAGTTACTCATATGAGCTCCATTACTTAACATTATGTTATTCTCTCTAAACCTCAGCTATCTTAACCGTTAAATGAGGGTAATAATAGTATCTACCTAATAGAATTATGTTGAGGAATTAAATAAATTAATCCATGTAAAGTACTTTTTAAAAAGGCAGAGTACATATAAAGTACTCCATAAATATTTGTTGTGCTATTCTTATTACCATTAACTTATCAGAAAACATAACTGGTCATTTCCTAAGTTATGAGTGACTCATACAAACAGGAGTCACTCGAAGTGTCGGTTTGGCCTGAATTTAAGTTTATCCCTTTCCTTTAGAAGTTCTGAAATCGTATCTGGAGATCAACACACTATAAATAAATTCTTGCTTCTCATCATACAGTACCCAAAACAATTACATTTGCTAGTATTTTTTCCCTTCTTTTTCTAGAGGGTAAGCATGAAGTCATTCATCATCTTCTTGGGTGAATCTAATGGATACATCATTTCCTATCCCACTTGACCTCACCTGTGTTAGAACTGTCCGCCATTCCTCTGCTTCTTCCTTTGGCATCCAGATACATGCCTTGAAGGTTTTCTTCACCTTTCTTGGGCCCAATACTTTTTGGTCTTTTGTGGTCACCTATTCCCTTTCTTTAGATAGAGCTGTTGCCCAGGTACTTTCCCATCTCAGTTTATACACTTGCCCTCAATGACCCCATTTCCTCTTAAGATTCCTCTTAAGAGGACTCCACATCCACTTTTACTGCTACTGCCTGAGGCAGGGCCCTCATCACTTCTAACCTGCCTCTTAAATGGTCTGGCTGCCATCTATCAGACACTTTAAAATTTCTCCTTCATACCGCCACTAGAATGACCTTCCTAAAACACGAATCTGACCTTATGACCCCAAGCTAAAGTTCACTAATGGTTTCCCTTACCTTGTTAGATAAGTTCCTACCAAAATCTTTGAACTATCAATCTCTTCTGTACTTTAATGATGTACATTAAGAAGGCACCAAGAACATTTTTGGTGTTCAGATTTAGCTCAGTTCAAAGAACATGGTTCTAAAAGTTATTCGAATAACTTACTATTATAAATTATTGATTATATCCTTAAAATCAATTGGAAGAGGTTCTCAACTCTAGTAAATGAATATCATCTGATCTCTCTAACTGAAAAATTTTATAACGATTCAATTATATATCAGACACAGACACATACACATTATACATTGTCATACTTAAAAAAGATTTATAGATTTTTCATGATAGTGAAAGCATATTATATAAATGCATACATTTAAATATACTTAATGTCAGTTATACAAAGGAAACAGAGTAATAACGAAAACTGATTATTCCATAATTTGATAAAAGCATTGTCCACAACTTTAGAATTTGGAACCACTATAAATTTCTTATCCCTATATTACATAGAACTGCTAAAGATCAATCTTTTGCTATAAACCAGTGAACATTTGTTGAGTCTACACATCTCAGAGACTTCTGTTGATATGAAGGAACAATGTATTGGGATGTATAAGAATTCAGGAGAAATGAGAAGAAGAAAGGATGGCAAGACCTGCTGGGTTAGGAGTGTAAGTTCTGAATTCTGTCCTGACCATGGCCCTACAATCTGACAGAGATCGAGATGGTTAATTAGCTTCTCAAGATGTTACTTTCTTCATCTTCAGAACGAGAGACTTTAATAACACAGAGCTCTAAGGCCCTAGACAGCTTTAAAGTTTGACTATTTAGCTATAGCATACCCATAGAACAGGAAAGCCCTCCCCTAAACATACTCCATTGAAGATCCATACCACTGTGTCTCTCAGTCACAAACAGCGTAAAGGCCTCGTAGGTGTCTAGACTTGATGAGGTTCTCCAATATACATTCCTATGAACCTCTACCTTCAGGTGCTAAAATCTTTAGCTTCTCACTGCTTTAACCATGCTGGACATTTTCATATAATGTAGCCTTAGTTATAGGCTTGAATCAATAAAAAATTAACACACCTTCTCACCTCCTGCTTTCAGATACAAGTAAGTGATACCTCCTTAGCCTTCCAGTGACACAGACTAACACTTCATAAGGGAAAGGCTGGATGAATGACTAGTATATTTTCAACTTTAGTTCCCGTGTTAAGGATATAACAGTTGTATACAGTAAAATTCAAGGATAGAGTTGGCTGTGTCAGACAATGTAGGACATCCACACCATCACAGTCATAGCTTTTGGATATGTTTTCTGCAGTGAAGATTTAATATATCAGATAGGTTTATAAGTTAATTGGATTAGCTTTACCATTTTGTACCACATTTGCTTTATGATGAGCTGCAAGCCAGAGTCTATATAGTTAGACTTGGAGTTTAGCAGCATAACCAATAAACTATAATGAGAAACAAACAAGTCTGCATTCTATAGTATATCAATCGAAAAGCCATCCCAGCTTTAAACAACTCTGCTGATATTTGGAGATGTCTTTCTCAGACTGCTCTCTTGTAAACTTTCCCTTAGAAATAAAACCTCTGACATATAGTTACTGCTGTACGCCTGTCAAATACAGGGAAGATCCTGTAAAGAAGTTAAAGAATGCAGAGTGCTTCTCTGCATTATTTAATCCTCCTCCCCCCAAAAAAGAATGCAGAGTGTTTTGCATAACTCAAGCCAAGTTATCCACATTGCCTAAGTCAGCAGTCCAAAATTCACAGAGACAATCCAGCAATCAAATTCCAGTTTGCTTTGATTTGAAACCTTGTGTTTGTCAGAAGACTTCAAAGCCTTGGAATTAAGTCATAAAAATGTGTAAAAATGTGATATACTAAAAAAAAAAAGACAATTCGCCCACTCATTGTTAGAAAGCGTGAGATTCTTCTCAGATTTCACACTGGCCTCACAGCCTCCTGGAACTTGAGCTCCAAATGTCACTTACCCTATGACGATACAGGAGATGGCAGTTCCCAAGAAAGCATATGTTAAAATAGATCCTAAGTTTTGAAAAAAGTGTCTCTGGGGAGAAAAAAAAATATAATAATATATTAGCACTTTTCTTAGTGTAACAGAAAATACAAATACATTTATGCCCCCCTCCCTTCCCTCAGTGTTTAGGCAAATTTTGTTTCTGGAGCCCCAGTTCCTGGTTTTACTGTACAAATGAAACATAACTGATCTACACTGCAAAAGACAGAGGGGCAAAAAAAACACATCTGGAAGGTGATGAAGTAGAATTGAGAGAAACAACCACCATATCCAGCTGACCTAAGAAAGGGAGGGACTGGGACAATGCCCATGCAAGACTTTGGAAAGAGAGTTTTCAAGAAGCTTTGTTGTCCCTGAACTCTTTAGTATTTTAAAAATACTATTCTAAAAGATTTAAATTGTCTTTCGACTTTTATTATTGGATCTCTAAATTATCTTTCTTCTGAATGCAATAGAACAAAACCTTAATCATCTACAACAATTTATTTTAAAAAACCAACAACAAAATTATACCTAGTATTGAGGCTGAGGATGAGGAAGAATAACCTGACTAAATCTAGCCTTCTAACTCTTTTAAATGCTTGCTTAGGAAAACTCCCTTCCAGTGGGATCTGAGTAGTCAGACTGACAGCAAGAGGGAGCTTGGAGTACACAAGAAAATCAGGTCAGTATGGAACAAACAGCCTGGCTGCTGAAACTGACAGGCCCAAAAGGGGAGTCCAGGAATCTTGAGGTGTAATGTAGGCAGCAGAAAAAGCAGCCTCAAAACTCATAGAGACCAGACTCACTCTGCAGCACAGGGGATATTAGCACTTGCACTATTATGTGAATTACTAATCTGCAAAATGTGCACATTCAGGCTGTATTTAAGTAATGTCAGGCAAGTGCATTGAAACTGTAAACCTGAACTTTCTATCAGCAGCAACAGCTGAATGTTAGCAAAGCATTCTTGAATTTTCACTCTGATGGATACCCCAATGTTAATTAGCAGTGAACTTTTTGATTATAATCATCTAGAATAAAATATCCAATAGAAATGTAATGTAAGTCATGCATGTCATTTAAAATTTTTCTAGTAGCTATATTAAGTTTAAAAAAAGAAATATGAATTTTGATAATACATTTTGTTCAACCCTACATACCCCAAACATTACAATTTCTACATGAAATCAATATAAAATATACTGAGATATTTTACATTCTTTCTTAATACTAAGTCTGAGAAATCTGGTGTGTACTTTATATGTAAAGCACACCTTCATTCAGACTAGCCTTATTTCAAGGGCTTAATAGCTGCATGTGTTTAACAGCCAGTGTATTAGACAGAGAAGGTTTAGACTAATTCCAAGCATGTCAGATTTGAAAAGAAGAAAACTGTGTATTTACCTTCTTTAGGCTATATCCTGCATGAAATATAATTGGTGGCAGCAGAACATTGAAGAAGATTTCTGGATCAAACGTCATCTGCCAGAAAAAGACAAAAGTTCAGTTAGGAAAATGATCCTTTGGGCCACTAAAACTGTGTTTTAAAAATACACTTGATGTCACCGTGGCTAAGGTTGTATGAGGCATATTAACATTAGTAGAGATGAAAATAAAAGAAAATGCAAACTTAGAAATTCATAAGTGTAATATAACTGTAAAGTCATATTTTAAATGTAAAACCTATATTCCATTTTATAGCTAATAGCAACAACCAAAAAAAAAATAAAAATAAAAATAAAGAACCTCAATGAAACTTTTCTAAGCGAAGTAAACTTTTTTCTTTTCTTTTGATTAATTTTTCATTCCTCATATTTTAAATGTTTATTTTATTTTAGTGTTTCTGGTCAAAGAAATTGGTATTGCTCGAACATTTTAGCTTCTGACAAGGATTTATTTAAACTTTTTCAAAATAAAACATTTTTAGAAATGCAGTCTTAGTTTTTCCTACTGTATCCTATTCCAAAGTTTAAAATATTTTTTAGACTCTGTGGAAAAACTCATTTGAAAAAGTGAAAATTGATTATCTAGTATTTGTTTATTGGCTCTTATTTCAAAGTTAAAATAAAATTGGCCAAAAAAAATTACTTATTACAATGAAATGAGATGTAGAAATTCTTGAATCCAATCTCTGCTATTAGCTGAGTAGCCTGAAAATAAAAACATTTAAGCTTTAAAACTCTCTCTCTCTCTCTTTCACACACACACACACACACACACACACACACACACACACACACACTGCCATTCATTATTTATTATATCTCCACTGAGCTCTTTTTACCATCATAGTATTCATCAAAATTTTTCAGAGGCTTATACTTCACAAATATAATTTCTAATGTTCTCCCCCTTTTATGCCTGAATTCTTATTCATCTCTGAGGCTAGATCTCTGAAATTGCTTTGATTTCTCAGTCAAAACTGACCATTCTGTTCTCTCAGCATTTTGGACCCTCCTTTCTAGCATATGTGCTTCTTAACATACTTTATACGATTATTGGTTTGTGTTTGACTATTTCCCCCATTAGGTGGGAAATTATCAAGGATCGCAGTGATGACTTAGTCACTTCTGTGTTGCTTCTGTCTCTCCCATTGCTAGCCCATTGCTCAATATATATACTTGCTAAATTGAAAAAAAAATATTTTTGAGAGTCATATCTACTAAGTTGGAATAAATTATATATACCCATAATATGCTTACACATCACAGGTAAGGATTAAGTAAAAATTAGGAAAAACCTCTTTGACTCTATTTTCTACTTTGGGCCAAACTGAATGTTGCCAGATTCCCTCATCTTCATTCCCCATACTCACCCCTCATCTTGACTCCCTTAATAGCTGGGGAGGGATAGGTAGGGGAAGTCAGAGTCACCTAACTCAGCTGGGTCCTCTTTCACGAACCTGGTTATTCATTCATTGATGCTACAACCTCTTGTACCAGTGAACATTCAGGTAGATAGATCAACTAAGGCCCATCAATAGCTCTCTGTGACTCAATTTCTTCATCTTTAAAATTAGTATATGAATTGTTATATCTAATTCTGAGGTGGTTATAAAAATTAAATGAATTAATATTTGTGAAGCCTTTGCAACACTGACATCTAGTAATCATTTTTAAGTATTTATTACTGAAGAAAATAAAATAATGAATAAATATTTTTAAGTTATACTATTTGAAGAAACTGTCCTGTTATCAGAAACTCTTAAAGGTTGTAAATGTAAAATTTGGACAAAGATCTTACTTTTCCTTCTAAGTTTACTCTTTTTTTCTAAGATAGTCTGAAACACAATTGTTGATTTATCTTTATGAGGCATTTTTGAGAGTATATCAATTGCATATTTGAAAAATTTTAACAAAGAGATGTATTTCTGAGTGCTGGAGGGATGAAGCAACGCAGCTGTGATCATCTGGAAGACAGAATTACAGTAGCACAACATAACATCTTGGACAGAAATTCCCTTGCCTCAGCAGTTTTTCTGTAAAATTCAGGTTAATCACTCAACCAGAACATTTCAATAATCAGAATGCCCCATTCCCTGTATGCGGGTTAACTAACGTGCTATTGAATTGTATTTTCTGGAGCAGCCAGAAGAAACTGGCAGGCTGAGAATGGCATGCAGCATATGAGAATTTATTTGTATATACAAAACAGATTTGTGTTGCTTTCAGACTTGCTCTAAGCTTAGGAACTGCTAAATCAGAGTTCTGGGAGTAACTCCAAATCTAGACAATTTCTCAGAAATGGTTAGATCTGCCACTGTACTAACCTCCAGATGGTGATCCCACATGCCATTTTCCTCAGACTTTGTGTTCAAACCATGGCCTTGGCGATGAGACTGTTTTTAAGCCCAAAGGCAATTAAAATCTTTCATTACAGTATGAGGAGGAAATATTTAAGACAGAAGCAAATGAGAAGAGCAGAAAGGTAAAAATATTTCAACTAAAGACACTAGTCTTTTAAGATATAAATCTTATAGACCAGCACTGTCCAATAGAGCTTTCTGTGATGATGAAAATGTTCTATAACTGTAATGTTCAATATAGCAGGCACTAGCCACATGAGATATTGAACAATTAAAATGGTAAGCTAGTGCAACTGAGAAAGTAATTTTTTTCTTTTCATATCTGTGGCTAGCTGCTATTAGGTAGCACATTTGTAGACAGTTACTAGAATTTAAAAATTCATACTGTTCAGTTTTTAGATGGTCCATCATCCTATACAAGGTATTGTTAATTTGGAGCAACCGACTTGAGATTCTGAGATGAAAGAATTATAGATGTTTCATAAAAGCAGTAAGATATTTCAATATTGGTATTTTAATTTTAAAGTAGTTGATAATATGGGGGACACAAAAATATCAATATGTTTACCCTGGTGCAGTAGTTTTACTTATGATATCAGATATGCACCAATATTAGGCTAAGAATCCCCCAGGCATGTTCACAGAGGTAATCAACTTGAAAATGCCCAAGCATAGAAAGGAAATGTATAAAGTTTAATTCCCAAGTTTATCAGAAGATTATAGATACAAAATTCTGTTTGAGCTTGAGTATTAAGGCATCTGGCAACTCAATATGACTTATCTGGGAAGAAATATCAGTGTTCTACTCAACTACTAAATAAATAAGCACTAATATAACCATCTTAATGGGGAACTGTGATTCCTAGGGCATATTACTTCCAAAAGGGCCTTTTAAAGAACACTGTTTCGTCAACTCTGGCAACATTCCTGAGTGGTAGCTGGCAAATATAATTATCCCCATTTTCCAAAGACAAGAGAAGAAATGAATGACATGCCAGTGTCAATCAATGTGACAGGGATATGACTGGGAATTGGATGTATATGCATAGGCAAACCAAATGTGTGTATGCTGAGGGAACATCAAGCTAACATAACTTGTTAAAGCAAGATTTAAGAGTGTTTAAGAGAAGTTGAGACTCAGAAGTAGATTTTCCTTATTTTGACAATTACCAGTTCCTTTGGAAAAGTAAAAGCGTTTAAGACAATAATGTGTTCAATCATATTCGAAGCTTTGTTAAACAATTAACAAGCCTCCTCTCAGGTGCAAAGTACTTAAAGATACGTGATAGGTAGAGTGAATCCATGAAGGTCATGGTCAAAGAAAGAAAAGACACCGCTATTTCAGTACAAGTCAGGGGACTAAGCTATATTTCAGAGTTCTCTAGGACAGTGACAGCAACCTGGACTTGTCGACCATACAGAGAAGCTTCATGTTAAAACAGTAAATGAACTGGATTTTGAAGGATGAATAGGAGCCTATCCATGGGGCATCAACATACAGAACCTTGCTCCTTTGTCTGCCCTGGGGACAGTGGGCCAGAGTTCACTAAGCCGCAGAGGAAACTAGGAGTTTCCTGGAGTTTCAGTTCTACTTTATAGAAAGTAATTTGAAGTATATTGAGTATTAAAATAAATGCAGCTGTATTAAAAAATGAAATTCAAAATCTGTATTTATTTTTAATATAAATAGGACACTTCAAAGAAACCTAGGCTCCCTCAGGGCAGGCAGCTTTGAGATGCACATAGACACAGCTTAAGGGTATGCATTTCCTTTCCTCTGTCCTAAGTTATTCTTTGATGTGAGAAGCGCTGAAGTAGGAGAAAGAAAAAGTAGATTCAGAACATCTGATGAAAACATGGAAGATACTAATCAGATGATTTTGGTCTATATATTTAACCTCTCTAAACCTCAGTTTCCTCATTTGCAATATGGGCATGCAAAGGCCTACATCCTAGAGTTACTTCGGTAAATTAAATGTAATAACAGATGCAAAAGATTCTGCTTGGTACCCAGCTATGACTATTTCTCAAGAAGTATTCGCTGTACTTGAAGCTAAGTGAAAGAAACTGTTGAAGCAAAGGATTGAGTACAGGAGGTAGAAGGCACACTTGGGAGACAGAAATAGATACATAGGGATCCTGAGGAATAAAAAAGGAGGTATAAGGCCTGGCATGTGAACATTACCCAGACTATGAACCTTTTTCTGACCCAGTGGAGATGGATTTAAACTATATTTATTCAAACATGGAGAAAAGTAGAGCTATTTTACACAAGCAGATTAAACAATAAAATGGCTTTGGGGAGTATAAATCTGCATAACCTTTTATTAATCTAATTTAGCAACAGGTATGAAAATGTTAAATGTGTATACCATTTGATTCAGCAACACCTCCTGTGAGAATTTGTCCTGCAAATATGCTTGTACATGTGTGAAATGGCATAAGGGCATGATCGTTCATTGAAGATGAAAGAATGGTAAAAAAGAAGAAGGCATTGAGGATGATAGAATCATGAACTGGTTAAATAAATTATGGGATAACATACTATGTAACTGTTAGAAAGGCTGAGGAAACTGTTTATGAATTAATATGGTTGCTCACTAAAATTTGTTATCAAGTCAGAAAAACAAGGTGTAGAACAGCAAGTCTGGCACGTATAACAAAAATTGCTATGGGC